TTTTTGTCTTATTCACCTCTGTATAATTTCCAACATGGGGCTTTGTACATTAGACATTCAAAAAATGTTATACAAGATTGGTTGCATCAATACTGGAGTGTCTGTGTAAGGGTTAGGTGCTGAGGCTGAGAAGTATACGAGGGAGACTCGAGATTAAACCTGCCACATAAAGTGGAGAGAAGTAGCAAGGTCAGGGCTATGAAATAATCCTAAAAACTTTAGAATTTCTACATAATACAGTTGACACTACTATTCTCAATAGAGCTGCTTTCAGTCTCAAAGGGCTGTGGTATGTGTGCGTGTGTGTGGTAAAAAAGGGAAGCAGCAGGTCAAGGAAGAGAAGTGTATTTCACAAGACTTAAGTAATCTTGTCATTGCTGCTTTTCCTGCCAGAAAATCATTACCATTCCCTTTAAAAATCATTTCCATATACATTGCAATAATCGCTCCTATGTCAATTCCACCCTTCCTTCTCTAATAATAGCTACTATTTATTCAGCACCAACTAGTATACTAGGGACTATGCTGGGTGCTGGAGTCCCAATGACGAATGAGACAAACACTTAAATAAAAGGATGTCCATAATACAGGCATGTACAAAGCTTCACCTCAACTGAGGAGGCAGGACCAACCTTCATAGAGAAGCCCAGTCTTCAAGGATGAGTGTTCTAGTTCCAGAAGAGCAGAAGCAGAGTGGGTAACATGTTAAAGGTATGGAGGCCTGAAAGAATTGCCTTTTTTCAAGGAATGCTAACTATGTAATAAGGTATAGGGAGAACGTGGTATTTTAACTGGAACATATGGAAAAGATTATTACTAGGGAAAAAAGAATGAAGGCCTTTACTAAGAAAGCAGCAGGAATGAAGAAGGGACAGATGCAAGAGGAGACAAGCTCAAAAGGACTTGATGATTAAGTATGAGTGTGACGGAGAAAAAGAATACAATACTTTGAGGTCCTAGTAAGCTTCTTGGGTGGCGTGGTAAATGATAATGCCATTATGGAAGGTAAAGAAGAGAGGGAGCCAGTTTACCAGGGCATTCAGGTAGCATGAAAGAAAACTGAACCTGTGGGCTCTGATAAGATCATCCAGGGGGAATAATAGCACCAACTGAGGGGAGAGGTTGAGACTCATGGGAAATAAATCTCAGGGAGGAATCTTGTCTACCACAGAAAACCCAGACGAATATCCAAACAGGGAAGTATAGGAGGTTATAAATAGGTCAAGCAGTGTGAGGACAGATAAAAAGACACTGGACTTGACAAGACGGGCAGTCTCCGCTTATCTTTCCCAGAATATCCTAAGAAAATTGTAGGAGCTAAAGATAGAGATCACTGGGCTAAGGAATAACTGGGAAGGGAGAAAACGGAGGCTGGAGGCATTTCAGAAGTCAGGATGCAAAGGCATCCAGGTGGTAGGAAAGGTTTTATTTGGTCTTTCCTTTTAGGCTAATGAAGACATTTACCATGTTTATACAAAGAAAGGAAACACTAATTGGTGATGTAAGGATTTTAAACACAGCCTGGGAGAGAAAGGAGGAGGGATCCAGTGCACAAGTAGAGTTCAGAAAAGTGCCTTAGAAACTAAAAGGGTGTTAAAAGAGCAGGGGAAAGGATAAATACATGTAGAGATAGAGGAGAAATGTTGCCAAATTCATTTTAAATTAAAGTCTATGATCAAAAAATAGCACCTGAAAAATGAAAAATCCATTGGGAATATTCTAAACACAGTGTAGCAGAACCTTAATTCTGCTTATACTTACTTATACTAAGTAGCCAAAGCTTATTTAGTTTTAAAAAATCCATATAGCTATTCTAACAGTCAGTGTTTAAACTGATTGGTGCTAATTAATCTAAAACTATGAGATTCTGTGTTAAAAAAAAAAAAAAAACAAAACCTCACCACCTATCCATCACCATCTAGAGCCATCCTGGGTTCATATTTTGAACAGAAAAGAAATTGTGCCTTCAGGTTTTTCTTTCTCCCTGGTAAGTTCTATTTATGTGCTTATGATTTTAAAAATTTATTTTAATTTATATTTTTAAATAAAAAATAAAAAAAAATTTCTACCTTTTTTACTGAAGTCTATGATTCTTGTGAGATTTCACAACTGCTGCTCATGAAAAATTTATAATACAGAAATATTTCTTTTTGAAATAATAATTTCTGAGGAATATTACTGGTACTTAGGTTCTTTAATTCTTTTTGTTTTTCCTTCCTGAACCATCCTGACCCCAAGCCTTATCTTGCTCTCTTCCCTATTTCCCAGTATCATTTAACTGAGAATTTTTGTTTTTATGGCATTCATACATTCCTCAATTTGACCAAAACAACTAATTCATGTAAAGTTATGGTTTGGTTAGACATCGTGTAAGTAAAATGACAGACTGCTTCTTGCTAGGAAGATATTCAACATTTAGGGCAGGTTCTAGTTGTAGTAACAAACTAGGTCTTGAATAAGTTAATTACTTAGCATAATGATAATTCCATCACAATTAAGATTACTGCCCAACTTTAATCTGTAATAAAATATAATGATCTAATTAACCCTTACAATGTCTTTGAGAAATAAAAGGGCAAAATAAATAATTACATATCAAATGAAAACTCCTAAAATATAACTATGTTTTGAAGCACAAGTAAAAGGTTTCTAAATGCCAGAATTACCAAAAGTTAGGAAATAGAAAGGGCAAATAAAGTGTCATGTTACAGCTACAACAACTCAAATAAAGCATGCAGAAACAACTAGGAAACACTGAGAATTTTAAATCTGATGAAGGAGCCAGCAGAGATTACCCAGCATTCAGCTCACCATTTGAGACCAGCCAAATGAATATGTGACAAGTCTCTTTTAAAAATCTTGCACTTTGAAAAGGAAATGTGTTATAAGTGTTACTCAATCTGGAAGTTATGGTGAGCTTGACAATGTCAAAACATGGATTTAGAGATTCTCAATGAACAGATATTTTACCTTCAATAAAATCTCCTTTCATAAAAGGAAAAAAAAGATTACCCAAATTCTACCATCATTTTGCCACTGGGATTATTTTCCTTTTGAACAATTTGGATGACCATTATTATTCCTGGACTTGAATGTACATGATTCTTATAAACCCAATGTCACACTAAGTAAAACTGCAAAAATCATATACATCTTATAATTAAAGTTACTATTTCTTTCAAAAACTAAAGTTCTATTAGTATTACTTTTAATGTTCAATAAATATTTTCTGAGTGTTTAATATAAGGTAGCCATTTTTCTACAAATTGGAGATTCAACAATAAAGCACAAAAATTTCTGTCCTTAGAAAGTTAATATTTCAGTATGGGAAAACAAACAGTAAATGAATAAATGCTTAGTAAAGTCAGATCATGGTGAGTGCTATGGACATACATAAAGCAGGGGGGACAGCAAATGCTGATGTATATATTCAAGGAAGACCTGCTCAGGTAACAGTGGAGTGACACCTGAAGGATGTAAAAGAGTGAACTATGCATTTTTCTGGGAGAAGAACATTCAAGGCAGAGGGAATACAAAGAGTCCAAGGCATGTGCATACTTGATGCTTTGAGGAGCACTGAGGCCAAGGTGCCTGGAGCTGCATGACGAGGTGGGACATGGTAGTACCTGAAGTAGGACAGGGAGTCTAGGCCTGCAACTTTTAAGAACTTTGACTGCTCTGAGTGGATGGTTTTGAGCAGATGAATGGTAGGAGTTGACTTGTTTTAAAAATAATCATTCTGGCTACTTTATGGGGAACAGACTGTAGGGATGCAAGGATATAAGGAGAATTTTTGTAGATGATAGCTTCAATCCAGGGAAGAGATGATGGTGGCTTGGAATAGGGCGTTAATAGTAGAGATCAAAAGAAGTGGTCAGCTTTAGATATATTATGAAGGTAGGGTCTACTAGATTTGCTAATGGATTGGATATGGGATCTAAAAGAAGAATCAAGGATGACGTCAGGGTTTTTGGCCTGAGCAACTAGAAGTATGGCATTGCCATTTACTGAGTTGGGGAAGACTGAAGGAGAAGCAAGTTTGGGAGGGAAGACCAAGAATTCAGTTTCAGATACGCTGAGTGTGAGCTTTAATTAGATTTCTAGATAGAGATGTCAAATAGGCAGTTTTATGAGATCACGGGGAGTTAGAACATCTAAGAAAGGAGAGTGGTCCAAGGAAACTTCTTCCCCTTAAAAAATATGAGTGTAAAGCTAAAATCATAAGCAACTTTTAAGGCATAGACTGAAATAGTATAAAACGTAGAAAACCTCCCATACCTTGAAAGCTCACCTCAACTGCCTTCTGCCCAACTTAACATTTTAAAGATATTTTGATACACATACAAATCTAAGAAGCCCCAAGAAGCCTAAGAAAACCCCTTAGGGGTTACCTTGGCCCATGGGCCTCAAAAATAAGAAATTAAGTTTTTCAATGGCATAGCCATTACAAGTTTTATCTTAAATTTGCTTGAAATTTAAGAATACATTAAAACATTATAAAAAGAAATATAAAAAAGCATTTTTTTTTTTTTTGAGACAGAGTCTCACTCTGTCACCCACGCTGGAGTGCGGTGGTGTGATCTCAGCTCACTGCAACCTCCGCTTCCTGGGTTCAAGCAATTATTGTGCCTCAGGCTCCCAAGTAGCTGACAGTACAGGTGCGTACCACCATGCTCAGCTAATTTTTGTATTTTTAGTAGAGACGGGGTTTCACCATGTTGGCCAGGCTGGTCTCGAATTCCTGGTCTCAAGTGATCCACCCGCCTCGGCCTCCCAGAGTGCTAGGATTACAGGCGTGAGGTCCTGCACCTGGCCTCTGAGTTGTCCTTTTATGACAGCTTCCAATTTTGTATTCACTATGTCCAAAGTTGTATGCTTCTTCCCTGAAAAAAGTTTTTTATATTCTCAAATACAGTATTATTCTTCTCAGTCAGTATTATATATACAGTATAAATACAGTATTATATTCCCAGTTAGACAAATACAAAACGCTGCATCTATACAGGTGGTATCAAGATTTAAAAGGATTTAAATCTTGCAAGTTATACTTGAAAAAATTCATATGGAAAAGAGTCACTCAATTGCTCATTTTGCATACTGCCAATACCTGAATACTGACTATCTTGAACAAAACTATGACTGTTTGGATTAGTACTGTTTGATGGGCCCGACTCATTTATCATGCTGTTATCTGCACAACTGAAGTCAGATCCCTCAAATGCATCTGATTGTGAAACAAAAACAGTAGTATTGGAATTGGCACCTGCCGACATACTGGAAGAGGACATCTGATGGAGCTGTCTCAAGTCTCTTGGGTCTAACACTGAATTACATGAGGGGTTTTCAAGATTCATGCTCAGAAGTCTTGGATTATCCGTCTCTTCCATGCTATCATTGCTGGTTGCCATCATATTCACAGAACAATTAGACAGCATGTTGTGATCAGAAATACCATATAAGTCTGCTGGTGGCATGGATGACGCTTCCATTCCAACTATGTCATCGGCATTGTTATAAATGCAAGCGTTAGAAGCATTTAAATCATTCCCAATAGGTATTCTCAGGAATGGTGGGATACCTTGCGAATTAGAAGGAAGTGTCCCTGTTGAAAAACTACTCAGTGGGTTTGTATTGCCTGAGCGTGGGGTGGGGTGGGCCACTGATGACCAGCTTGAAGAAGGAAGAGGTGTCATTGAGGCATGATGTGACAATCCACTTGAGATGGGCCCAGGTGAGGGATAGTAGGATTCTGCTTGACTTGAAACCCCTGTAGGCATTTCTCTCACAACTGCATCATGAGAAAACAAGTTTGGTTCTGTGGGAGGAAAAATTTGTTTTACAAAATTAAAAGGAACAAAATTATAAAAAGTATTTCTAAATTAAAATTGCATAAGCACACAAATATATATAAAGAAAAATGTCAGGGAAACCAATGTAACATTTCAAATAAAAAAGTGTTAAAAGCACTAAAATTATTACACGAATCCAAAATGAAATTCTGTAACATACATACCATTTTACAAATACAGGTAAAATGATTTTTGCAAGTTACTTTGGCATATGTAATGTCACTCCAGTTAAATATGAAAATCTAGTTTCTGAGGCTCTATAAAGGTATTTTTGAAAACTAAAAGATAAATATTAGAATTACAATTAATGGGACTCCAAATAGCCAAAATTATCTCTTAGGAGAAAATGGAAGGATGGAGAAAACACTCATTAGGGATAAGAAAATACATACAACTTTTAAGATATATTACGACAGAACCCTAAGAGACTATAAAATTCACAGTCAGAAAAAATTACAGAAAAAATTAATTCTGTATTTATTTACATATTATACAAATGCTTTATGAACTAAACCAGGAAAAAGCACTGATTTAAGAATGTACATGGGGGAAAAAGACTTCTAATTAGCCCTTGGTTGAATTATCTAAACTAGGAATTGGTAATTTTTTTTTTCTGTAAAAAGTCAGATTGTAAATATTTTAGGCTTTGTGAGCTATATACAGCCTCTGTTCGAACTATTCAACCCTGTTACCATAGTGTTATAAAAAAAAAAGCAGTTTAGAGATAATATTTAATCAAATATTCATAGCCATGTTCCAGTAAAATTTTATTTATAAAAATAGGTAACTAACCAAATCAATAACATTTTTTTCCATGACGCAATGTAACTAATAAAATCACTACCATATGAATGACATGTAATTTCTTGAACAATAAATTCCAAAAACACGATTGGTTTCTAACACAACCTTCAGAAGTCATGCTTAATTTATTCTATACTGAAAGCATGAAAAATTTGGAGAGAAAATTTTCAAAGAAGCAGTTATTCATTCCTAAAAACAGAATTCCAATATATTGTGCACAGCACTGGTCTTTCTGATCACAAGAAATATGCTATAGGAAATAAAATACCTTTTTTGAAGTATCTTCCTTCTCCAATTGAACCGAGGAGACCAGGTCTTGGTCTCTCAGGAAAATTAACTGTTAGGATAAAGTTTTTCCATTATTAAATGGCATCTGAAAAATAACATTATCAGTTAAAATCTGAAAAACTGGCAGGGAGTGGTGGCTCCCACCTGCACTTTGGGAGGCCGAGGTGGGTGGATCACCTGAGGTCAGGAGTTCAAGACCATCCTGGTCAACAAGGCAAAACCCCGTTTCTACTAAAAATACAAAAATTAGCCGGGTGTGGTGGCACACACCTGTAATCTCAGTTACCCGGAAGGCTGAGGCAGAATTGTTGAACCTGCAAGGGGAGAGGTTGCAGTGAGTTGAGACTGCCCCACCGCACTCCAGCCTGGGTGACAGACAGAGACGCTGTCTCAAAAAACAAACAAAAACAAAACAAAACAAAAATAATAAAATTTGAAAAACTGAATACAGTAAATAAAACAAAACCTATTTAAATATGAATCGATCCAAAATATTCTTACCGTGATCCTGGCACAGTTTCTGGAAAAGCAGAGTTGTCTTTTGTTTCTTTGCTTTATTGCCATAAGTATCTGATTAGAAAGAAACCAGGAAAGCAGACAAAAAATTATAGGATTGTTTCCTCTCCTTTAATAAACAAATATTTTATTCACATATAGAAAATGTTTTCAATAAATACATATGTAATTTAGATTAAATAAGTATTATAGAATACGTCCCAAATCAGTAGTATCAGTAGAAAAGGATATTTTTCTCTTAGTAAAAAATTGTTTAAAGTAATCCCAGCACTTTGGGAGGCTGAGGCAGGTGGATCACTTGAGCCCAGGAGTTTGAGGCCAACCTGAGCAACATGGCAAAACCCTGTCTCCATAAAAAACAGAAAAACTGGCGGGGTGCAGTGGCTCATGCCTGCAATCCCAGCACTTTGGGAGGCTGAGGCAGGTGGATCACCTGAGTTCAGGAGCTTGAGACCAGCTTGGCCAACATGGTGAAACCCCATCTCTACTAAAAATAATACAAAATTAGTTGGGTGTGGTGGCACATGCCAGTAGTCCCAGCTAATCAGGAGGCTGAGACAGGAGAACTGCTTGAACCCAAGAGGCAGAGGCTGCAGTGAGCCGGGATTACGTCACTGTACTCCAGCCTGGGCAAGACAGAGTGAGACTCCATCTCAAAACAAAAAAACAAAAAAATCCCACCAAAATTAGCCAGGTGTGGTGGTGTGCACCTGTAGTCCCAGGTACTCAGGAGGCTGAGGTGGGATGATCACCTGAGCACAGGAGGTTGAAGTTCTGGTAAACCACGATCATGCCACTGTACTCCAGCTTGAGTGACAGAGTGAGACCCTGTCTCAAAAAAACCCAAAACAAACTGTTCAAAATATTCATCTTGTTTTCTTATCACACAAGTCAGTAATGTCAACTAGTGCAATAAGGTTTGATAAGAAACCAATATAGAGACTATTCTCTGAGTGGTAAGTGCACAAGGACTAAAATAGACCTTCAAAAATAAAACAGAAATTTTAGTAAGCAGTTTAGATACTTTGAAATTATTCCATCCTAATCAAACCTCTTTCTGAAGAAAGAGATGCAGAGACAAGTCTAGCCAACATGGTGAAACCCTGGCTCTACTAAAACTACAAAAGTAGCCTGGCGTGGTGGCACGTGCCTGTATAGTCCCAGCTACTCGGGAGGCTGAGGCAGGAGAATCGCTTGAACCCGGGAGGTGGGGGTTGCAGTGAGCTAAGATTGTGCCACTGCACTCTAGCCTGGGTGACAGTGAGACTCTGTCTCAAAGAAAAACGAAAAACAAAAAAACAAAACAAAACCAAAAAAACAAAGAAATGCAAAGAGCATAAAGAAAAAACCCAACAGAAAGCTTCCAGGAAAAGAAACATAAATTGTGAATATACATAACTGTACTCAAATGAATCTTACAAGATGTTATTAGCAGGACCACTTTAAGAAATATATAAATTATCACCAGCAAAATGTCATACCTTTTTCATCTGGCAGATATCTAAAATCCATAGATTCACTAACTTCCTGGTCAGAAGGTCTCCGCAACTGCATTTTTACTGTTACGGGTTCTGTGATAGCTTTGCAATATGGCGGAGTTTTGAAAACAATGGCTACTTGACGGTGTACATCAGCTTGTGAAAAGATGCCTTTTGCTTCCCAATCGTTCAACACAAAACGAACTTCTATGTCATCTAGTGAATAAGAAACCAAAAAAATAATAATGGGAAAACAAAGTAACTGCATCTATTAATCTAAAATTTATTCTAAATTCAATGAAATAAATAAATACCTTTCTGAACTTTGTCGCAAAGTAGAAATATTTCATCTCCTCCTCTGACACTTCCACAATTCTTGTTTACACGACAAATCCTTAATTCTGCAGTATTTGGCGCACCTAAATAAAAAGGATTTTCAAAAAAACGAGTTGCTACCTTAGTAATATTTTATTTCTTTTTGCAGGGGAGAATTTGAGGAAAACCATATACAGAATAAAAGTTTTAGTGTATAAAGAACACTAAATACATTAATCATCTATGTATCTGTCCACTTCCTTTCTAACTGCTTTACTTCAGACTTTGTGGCTTCATTTCTAGGTAATGACATATTCTTTAATTACATCTCCCTGCTTCTAAATTCTGATTCTGCCAGTCAATCCTATGCACTGTCACCAGATTAATCTTCATAAATCATGACCATATCTCTATGGCAATACAATTTTCCCTACGGCAATACATCTCCCTATGGCAATACAGCTTTCATGCTTCCTATTATGTGGCCATAAGATTATTATAATTATTCCTGGCATTTAAAGCTCTACATGATAAGGATACTCTGATCTACCTTTATAGCCCTACATCTCTCTATCCTTCTACACATAAAACAGGTATGGCCATACACCATTGGTGGACATATATGTAAGTCTATGTACACACACACACACACACACACACACAGTATTTTGGGGGAAAGTTTCATAATCTTTTAAAATGAGATATATCCATATCCTTTGATCCAGCATTTGCCATGCAGTGAGGCATGATTACACCACTGCACTCCAGCTTGGGTGACAGAGTGAGACCCTGTCTCCAAAAAAAAACCAATTAAAAAAAAACATATACAAGAATATGTATTGCAGTACAGTTTGCTAGGCCAAAAAGAAAAAATGAGAAAAGAAACAAACCAAATGTCTTATAAGAAGGTAATTAATAAAATTATGATATAACTACATAATAAAATATGCTGCTACTGAAAAGAATAAGTTGATTGAAAGGAAAATGTTCAAGATATATGGTAAGAAGAAAGTTTTTAAACAATCATCACTTATGATTTTAAGTTGCCACAATTGTACTGTGTCAAAAATGATGACGACAATGTATTTATGTATATATAGGAAGAAAAAACTGGTAAAATATGCACCTAAGGATAGTGATTATCCCTGGAGGATGAGATTAGAGAAGATTTCCTTTCTGTTATATATTTCTGTAATGCCTGGAAGTTTTCCTATCATGAATATATTGTTTTTCTAATTACCAAAATACTTTTAAGACTTAAACCATTACAAAAAAACAAGACTACAAATGTAAGAAAATGAAGTACTTACGGTTATCATAAATTGGGTTCGAGACAACAGGAGGAAGAGCAGTCGTCAAATTACCATGTTCATCAGGGAGGAAAACTTGAAAACATAATCTCACCACATTGAGGTCACAATCTTCAATATCATTCAGCTGTTTTTCAGGGACTGAATAGTAAAAAAAAAAAAAAAAAAAAAATTTAAGAATGTAATAGTCACATAGACCTAAAGTCCTGCTAGGTCCTCCTCCCTGCCCATTATAGCCAATAACCTTGAATAGAATCCAAATCTGTACGAATACAAATAGGATAGGATACAAAGAACGCCTTGTATCATTCTTATCAAGTAGTCACTATCAAACAGTATTTAATAAATTATAGCCATGTTCAGGAAGTAACTATCTCCTCACCTGGGGATAATCCCAAGTTGACATTAATACCAAATCAAAGTTTTTTTAAAAAGTTGCAAGTTTGTACACAACAAAGAATGGCATTTACCCATTCATTCAACAAACATGTATTTGGTCCAGGTGTTGTATTAAGGACTCTAAATTATCTCCTAAATCTGTAAAAGAATTACTTTCATCCTCATTTTACAAATGAGGAACTGAGTTTAATTAGCTTTTTTGAGATGGGGGTCTCACTCTGTTTCCCAGGCTGGAGTGCAATGATGTGATTTTGCCTCACCCCAACCTCTGCCTCCCAGGCTCAAGTGATCTTCCCATCTCAGCCTCCCGAGTAGCTGGGACTACAGGCACATGCCACCACGCCCAGCTAATTTTTCTATTTTTTTGTAGAGATGGGGTTTCGCTATGTTGCCCAAGGTGGTCACGAACTCCCAGGCTGAAGTGATCCACCCACCTTGGCCTCCCAAAGTATTGAGTTTACAGGCGTAAGCCACTGAGCCTGGCCTGGAACTGATTTTAAAGAGAGGAATTACTTGCCCAAAGTTTCACAGTGGCAAAGTGGAAATGTGAACTCAAGTCATTAAATTTAGAGCCTATGCTTTTAAAAATTGAACTCTATTAGAAAATTGTACATATGTTATACATAAAAATGACATAAACAAGAATATCTACTAAAATGTGGATCAACATTTTAAGGATGAAATACCAAGAAACAAACAAAGTAAGATAGCTAGTTTCCATAAGAAATTTTATGTGTAAATTAGCTTTGCTTAAAAATTTTTTTAATTAAAAATTTTACAGTTCTATAAAACTAGAAAAGCTCATGACAGAATATAGTATAATAGTTTGTTAAATTAATATTTGAACCAGAAATCCAGTCCCAAAAGAATATATTGCCTTTTCAAATGCCATAAGCTAAAGCACTAAGTTATATTTTTAAAAAGCATGACATGCACATTATTTACACAACAATTTTACTTTGCAAAGTATTAAATTTTGAAACACTAAATTTAGAAACACAGTTAAGCCCAAATTCCTTATTTTACAGGCAATAACTAATAAAAATGATAATGTATTTTGTACTGTTTTTATTTAATGACACTGACAGCCTACGTAGCTATCACAATATTTAGAAGTATCCCAGTATTAGCATTCTTAGCCTAACCTTTGAAAGAGTGCATTAAAAAAATCTGTACTCTGTACAACTGAAAGGTCAAAATGTTATGATACCAACGCTTGGGTTACAGCAGCATACTCTACTGGCACTATTGTGTAGGCGATACGAGCGCTACCTCTTCAAAACCCATTTTTATAGCATTATAAATGTAGCGTTCAAGATATTAGTGTCTATCAATTGCAAAGATGAGTAATCAATATGCAAAAAAGATAAATTTGTAGCTAGATGTTCCTGATAAGTTTAAAAACAAACCTATGTGAACTCTGTCAATGGATAAACCAACTGTGGTATAGTCCTACAATGGAATAAACTCAGCAATAAGAAAGAACAAACTGGCCAGGCGTGGTGGCTCACGCCTGTATTCCCAGTACTTTGGGAGGCCGAGGTGGGCGGATCATGAGGTCAGGAGATCGAGAACATCCTGGCTACCACGGTGAAACCCCGCCTCTACTAAAAATACAAAAAATTAGCCGGGCATGGGGGCGGGCGCCTATAATCCCAGCTACTCAGGAGGGTGAGGCAGGAGAATGGTGAACCCGGGAGACAGAGTTTGTAGTGAGCCAAGATCGTGCCACTGCACTCCAGCCAGGGGGACAGAGCGATACTCCATCTCAAAAAAAAAAGAAAAAGAAAAAAAGAACTATGGGGGGTATATACTCCCATATGAATGTATCTCAAAACCCTGCTGAGCAAAAGAAACCAGATACAAAAGTATACTGTATGCTTCCATTTATATGCAGTTTTAGAAAAGATTAATCTCCAGTGACAGAAGGCAGATTAGTAATTGAGGCAGAGGCAGGGTAGGGAAATGAACGAGAAGGGGACCACGGAAATTTTAGGGGGTAATGGAGATGTTCCACATCTTGATTGTGGTGGTGGTTATGTGGCAGGATATATTCTGGTAGATTTTATTGCATCTCAATAAAAATTTATTTTAAATATTTTTAGGCCGGGCGCGGTGGCTCAAGCCTGTAATCCCAGCACTTTGGGAGGCCGAGACGGGCGGATCACGAGGTCAGGAGATCGAGACCATCCTGGCTAACACGGTGAAACCCCGTCTCTACTAAAAATACAAAAAATTAGCCGGGCGAGGTGGCGGGCGCCTGTAGTCCCAACTACTCGGGAGGCTGAGGCAGGAGAATGGCGTGAACCCGGGAGGCGGAGCTTGCAGTGAGCTGAGATCCGGCCATTGCACTCCAGCCTGGGCGGCAGAGCGAGACTCCGTCTCAAAAAAAAATAAAAATAAAAAATAAAAAATAAATAAATAAATAAATATTTTTAAAGGTTACATAAAAGAAAAATAAATAAACTGGTCAATAAGCCAAAGTTTAAAAACATTTAGTCACATAATAGCTCTACTACAGGGAAGAAATTTTACCTACCTCTCAGAAAAAATCACTATTTATGAGATTTTGCTTTGAATCTTCTCAATGTGTGGAAATACAATTACTACTGCATCAGAATTACTTTCATCTCTGCACAACATGGTTAAAAACTACTGACAGGCAAGAACGACAGATACCCTTTTTTACCCAATGCAAAATTCAGTGTAAGGCTGAAAACCCAGTTCAAAACTTCTTTTCTATAAAGCCTAACTTCATCCTCTGCAGTGGAAGGAATATTTCTCCTCTCTAAATCAGTGCAAGACTTGACCTATCCCTTTTTTTTTTTTGAGACGGAGTCTTGCTCTGTTGCCCAGGCTGGAGTGCAGTGGCACGATCTCGGCTCACTGTAAGCTCCACCTCCTCGGTTCACACCATTCTCCTGCCTTAGCCTCCCGAGTAGCTGGGACTACAGGTGCCCACCACCATGCCCGGCTAATTTTATTTTATTTTTTTTTTGTATTTTTAGTAGACGGGGTTTCACTGTGTTAGCCAGGATGGTCTCGATCTCCTGATCTCGTGATCTGCCCGCCTCGGCCTCCCAAAGTGCTGGGATTACAGGCGTGAGCCACCGCGTCTGGACGACCTATACCTTTCTTATGCACTTAACAGTTTTAAAATCTTACATGATAACCATTTATGTATGCCTCTTCTATCTTATTAGACAAAGTTTCAAATGAAGCCAGAAGGGGTGTCTGATGTATCTCCACTAGGCATCGAACATAGTGGTTTACAAACATTTGATATTTATTATACATTTCCTCAATTAACATAAATGACTGAAGAATTACTTAAAGGCCTATCAAATAACCAAACATTTAGATATTTTTTACAAATTACTGAAGAAAGCATAAAGTAAAAGTTAATAAAAAAGAAGTTCTACTTTTGGTAATGGCAGATGATAATCCATAAACTGGGACCAATTCAACCATAAGAAAGTGGAAAAAATATGAAACAAAATTTCTCTAATGACATCAGACAGTTAACAAGGTCATAAAAAATCATGGGACCAAGATAGGAGAGAAGAAAACCCACAGTTCAGAATGAGAGGCCACTTTTATCTAAATATAGCCTGACAATTTTCTAAGAGATGGTTAAGAAGATTGAGATGAACTCTCAATAAACTATGGGGGAAAATAAAGGAGTTAAGAGTCTGCCAAGGATGTGGGATCTGATAAATACCCAAGGCTTTGGGGGATTTGAGGTCTGGAAGAGCTATACCCTAGGAGTACGGGTGAACTGGAAACATATCAGATTTCAGGGATGAAAGCCCATCTTCAAATAACCTAAATCATTCACTGATTTTAGGTGATCTGGGATTGCTAGTGTACTTGGCCACTAGCCAGAAGAAAATTTTCTGCAGGGAGATAATATTGTAGGCCTAAAATCTTTACACTTTTTCACAGAAAATGACTGGTATTTTATCTTAGATAATCAGACATATGAGGAGGCAAAATAAATTTTTTTTTTTTTAAAAGAAAGCAACAGGCAATAAAAACATACCACAAAATATCCAAATAATGAAGTTTTCAGAAACATAATTTAAAGTAACTATACTTAATATATTCAAGGAATTAAGATTGAGAGTTTACTGGAGATCTTGAAACTGAAAAAAAGGAATCAAATTCTAGAACTGAAAAATATAATAAATTGAGATGAAGAATACAATCAAATTTATCAAAAGTTTTATAGAAAATATGTTGTGTCTTGTCTTTTTATACCCCAAGGATTAAAATGTTTACCAACGTAGTCTACCATAAATTTTTAAAGTGTTGATTCACTTTAAAGCCTTTAATCCATCTTCAGCTGATATTTGTATATGATGTGAGGTAGGGAATCCAACTTAATTAAATAACTATTTTTTTCAAGCTTCCTTTCTCAAACATTTCCTCCTTTCCTCTTGATATGACATGCCACCTCTGTCATACATTAAAGTCGCGTATTTCCTTAGCTCTGTTTCTGGGCTCTCAATTCTTTTTCTTTTTTCAATAATTATACATTTTTATCTTATAAAAATTGGGTGAATATGTAGATATAAATTGACAAAAATGTGTATTGAACAGTTCTGTCTTTTATAGCTTAAAAGAAAGATTTTGGACGAAAATGAAATATCTCTTCTTGAAATGATTTATTTCTATTTTATAATACTTTTGAGCACTCTTGCAACTTCAGAAGATCTTTTATATTTTTAATTTCAAATCTG